TGGCAATGGTTAAATGGGTCGCGTGATATTTTGGACCACAACGGCGTAGCAGTTGATCAGGCCCATGCCCATGACTCTTTTAGGGTTCCCTTCGTATTTAAGTCTCTCTGACTTGGTTATAGGGTTCATTTTTCAGCCTTTAACCCCCCTCAACCTCAGAAAAACCCTAATCCTTTACTTCTTGGTGGTTTTGGCTCATTTTGGGTGGTTTTGGTGCTTTTGGAAGGAAGTGGGGAAGAATTGGTGCAAGGATCAAGCAAGCAACACCTTATCATCTCGGTTATCATCTTCTAGACCATTTGTAAGGATCCAAGTCTCTATCTTTTGAGTTATTCTCTTAGATCTAGGTTGTTTTGGTCCCTTTTTGGTTCATAGAGTTTATTTGAGTGAATGGATGGAATAAATTTGACAACTTTATTGCTCTCTAGTGTCCTTTCAGCATCATATCTTATGGATATGAAGTTTGGTGGTGATTAGTGAATCTCTCATAAGTTTATGTCATTTTCTTGCCATTTTACCTAAGATGAGTTAAGGACATGCATGGGGTATGCATGTCCATCAAGTAATCATTTTTATGCACCTTTGGTTCCCCTTTAGCTTCTGGAAGAGTTAGGGTTAAGGACTTTTTCGGATTAAGGGCTTAATGGTTAATACATTATGGATTTTGGCTTTATTTGGACCTAGGGTTTGGGATCTTGATCTCTTTGGGAGACTTAATGGATAAAGTTGGAAACTTTATTCCTTTAGACCATTGTTTGGACCAGATCTAAGCTTTGGAGCTCTTGGAATCGAGGAAGGCAGGTTAATCCATTAAGCTGTTGGAAACTGAGCACCTACGGCGTGGCGACTGGGAATTTCCCGTAAGTTGGCTAGGTGAAGGCCACGATGTGGCCAAGGAAGGCCACGACGTGTCGGTCAGCTAAAGTCAACTCTAGTCATTGACTTTGACTGTTGACTTTTGGCATGGGTTAACTTTTTGGTAAATCTCTATTTTTTAGAAGGTAGACTCGGGGATTCCTTTGTGTGGATTGACAGGAGGTGTTAAGCACCCATCATTTGATAGGAGAGCAGTTAGTTATGGTAAACACGGTTTTGAACTGAGCGTTGGTCAGCTTTGTGATTTAGGTGAGTCTTCTCACAGTACTTGCGGGTCGAAGGCACCAATGTCGGCCCATTGGATTATGTTATAGTATGCTAGTTGTCTTTTTGACTCTTGTATGTATTATATGTGTTTGTAAGTATACCTGGCGGGTCCCGATGGTGGGCGGGGCCCATTGTTTCGGGAAGGGCCCTATAGTGGGCGGGGTTCTTTGTATGTATGGTATGTGGTATTTTGGGGAACTCACTAAGCTTTGTGCTTACGGTTTATGTTTATGGTTTCAGGTACCTCCGTTCCGAAAGGGAAGGGCCTGGTGTGACTGCACAGCATCCCTCAGAGTTTTCCGTTGGCAATTAATGATATTACTCTGATGATTAAATAATATAATTACTCTGATCGGTTTTGGGACAACCTGTCTGTATGCTTTATCATTTTGAAAATGAAAATTTTACTATGAATTTTTGGGACGTTACAGTTAAAGATTTAAGTCTTTTGCTAGACAAAATGGTAGATGTATGAGTAGAATTATAAAGTGTATGTGTATGTGTTGTAAAAAGACAAAGGATGTTTTTTAAGACTTTGAACATTCATAACTCTTTCATACAAATTCCAATTGAGTTGATTTTTTTTCGTTGTGTTCTTTGTAAAAATGGATTTTCATGGACGTATTACACTCAAAATTTGGATGTTAGAAAGTTATATTGTTAGCGCCAAAATAAGTTAGTCAGTGAATATATATATATATATATATATATATATATATATATATATATACTTTGATCATTCATAGATTTAGCATACGAACTCCGTTTGCGCTGATTTTTTTCATTGTGTTCTTTGTAACAAGAGTTTTCCATGTACATCTTACACTCCCAATTTGAATGTCGGAAAGTCGTACTTTTTAGCTCCAAAGTAAGTTATTCGGTGAAAATTATGAAAAACAAATCATAACTTTTGCATACGAGTTTCATAACAACCGTATATCATTTGGGTTCTCTCGATCAGAAGGTGCCCTATAAAAATTTCAGAGAAATAAATAAATAAATAAACTTTTTCGCTTTCGAATACAAATTTGATAACAATCATCATACCATTTGGGTTCTCACAATCACAAAGCGACCTACACAAATCTGAAGTAAAATAAAAAATAAAAAAAAATTGCAGCCAACCAAATTTTCACGGATGATTGACTGTGAACATGGTGACTATTTGGGTCATTTTTCATTTTTGTGGCTACGTTGTGGTAAGAAGTTGCTCTAAAAAATGACTATCCTGGTCATTTTCTCTTGAATTTAGTATACCATCTTATAGTCTATTGTCAATAATTTAATGTTGGATTAAATGGAAAAAGTCTATTTGAAACAAAGAAATTACAAAAAATCATTGCCTTTAGGGAAAATGTGAACTTATAAACTTCTTGTTTGAGTTTAAGACGAAAGCTTATCCACAGTTCCATTCACTATATTTTTTTCTCCATATATAATATATGATTTATAGGTTTGTATTGTAGCACCCTATAAATCATAAAGTATTATGTATAGAAGAAAAATAGTATGTTCAAATCACTCCCCGTTTATGATACCTGGGAAAGATGCATTATATGGATATGATTCAATAAGAATTTCCAATATTGACTTGTCAGACTATCATACTCAGTGCAAGTCTGCATGATGCTTATGTGAAAGCTTTTACAACCCCACCATTCCCAGCAGGGTCGGTCCGTTGATTTTAGGGGCCATGTGCGAAGGATACCAAATGGGCCCTTAAATATATGTGTATTTTTTACTTATAACCAAACCTCATTAATTCTACTATAATTATTATAACATAAACAAAAAAACGATAAGACAATAGATAATTTTATATAGCTAAATGAATCGTGAAACTCTCATCGCATTAATTGGCAAAATTGTTCACCCAGCCTCTTTTAGTTCTTCAACTCTTGTTCCCTTTCTACGTTTTTTTACTACGAGATATATGTAGGAGACATAATTTTTAAAAATAAAATAACAATAATCACTCAAATATTCGATGAAAATTAAAATTATAAAGATAAAATTTTATGATTCAATTGAATAAATCAAAAATCAGAATATAAGAAAGAACAATGCCAACAACAATGTAAACTTATAATTATAAAATAAAATACAAAAAATTTGAATCGTAAATAAAATGATTAAATAATAAAAATAAACTAGGAATTAGACTAGTATGACAATTGGGCCTTAATGGTATTTATTTAATGAATGGTACTTGTGTGATGCGTGGCTTCAATTTGAGGAATATAAGACGGAATAACGTAATACAAAAAAAGAATAAACTCATTCATAACGCCTGGTTTCGAAAATGGGACGCATGCATTGAGTGAAAAGCGCTTTAACCATCTTGTCTACAGACTTTAATTACTAGCATCCTCAAAATATTTTATATATCGAGATAATACAATATATTTTTAAAATACAGGCCCCTAATCAACATGGGCCCTGTGCGGTCGCACACCCAGGACATGCTTAGGGTCAGCCCTGCTTCCCAACCACTCTCGTGGGGCCCTATGACCTCCTTCACTGCTAACCACTTCTCTTCTTTGTTCCTTCTCTTTTCTTCCTTCTTCACGTCCTTATTATTATATGATCATACCCATTAGCAGTGATATGAACATGATGATGAGGAGGCCACCTTCACTCCCGTGGCCACACTCATTAGTCTTAGGGCACATACCAAAGTAGGGAAGTTTCACAAGTACAATTCATATTTTATTATTTATGTGCGGTTTTTATATATTTGTTGAAAAGAAAAATAAAAACGATGCCTCATTGTGTTTCTTTACTTGTTAAAATTCGCGCTCATATAACCATTTACTCATCGTAAATGCCTCACCAAATAGGCAAATGCCATGATAAAAGCCAAAGAAAGATATAATGACGGTTGTCGTTTCGGTTTTTGATATTTACAGCGTTTTTAAAATTTTAATGGATTAAAATATAGTTGCATCTAAATGTGTAAACCATAATTAATGTCTAAGATATCAATTTTGCCTTACATGGAGTAGGAACATAACATGATGAGCATATGCCTTTTAATACTTCACAGCCGGATTAAATAACCCACCACCAACTATTTTTTTTTGGCCTAATAGTATCAAAAGTTATCCTTTTTTTAGATTGAATGTTCAAATCTCATCATAAGCATAGATAGAAATAAAGAGTTGTTCATGAGTAGATTAATTTAAAAAAAAAATCTATAACTTGTTTTTTTTTACAAATGTTTTTTTTAGAAATTTATAACTTGTTTTTTTTTAAACTTCAATTTTTTTTAAACTTTGGTTTTTTTTTTAACTTTGATTTACGGATATAGTTTACACAATTTTTTATAATTTGATTTTTTTTTAAAAAAAAAAACTTCGATTTTTTAAATTTTTTTACATTTCTGTTAATAATACTTTCATTTTTGGTTGCATCTTTTTAACATGTATAATTCTTTTACAAACTTTATAGACATTATTTGCGATATTTTCTTAATTTCTTTTATTAATTTCTTTTTTTTATGTTTTCTAAAATTAATTTTTTTTAGAATAAAATTGATAGCTTCTTTCATATTTTTTTAGAATTTTATATCTTTGTTTTTTTAATGTTCTTTTTAGTATTCTTTCAATGTTTATGGCTAAAATTATTAAAATTTCGGTGTTAACTATTTTTATTTTATACAATTAGTTTATTTAAATTTCATTTTACTGTAACAGTTTGTAAATGTTAAAAACAAACATATTTTTTATTACATGCTGCAACCGTTTTGGTCCACCTTTTCTATTGCAGATAGTTGCAGAGATGTCCGCAGACTTCATGAATTTTTGCTTCGAAAAAACAAAGAGCACCTTAGTCTCACACACTTCGAGATAAGCATATAAATATCCCTAAAACAAGGAATAATGTGATGATTAAAAAAAAATTTAAAAAGAGTTAAAAGCGTTTATTTTTTGAAATCGCCTATCAATAAGAAGAATACACTAGAACATGTATATAACAACTTGTTCAACAATCTTCAACTCAAACCATGCTACCCCCACACCGTCCCCCTTTCTCTTGATAATAAGAAAACAATACCTTCCCATTCCATTGCATTTTTCTACATTCCTTTCCTTCCCATGACACTAATTTTCCTCAAAGCATAGCTTACATATATATATATATATAATAAACCCCCATTTAGACCCTTGATTTGGTATCCACATATTAAACTACAAAACCGGGGAATCTTTCTTCCATCAATCAATCAATCAATCGCACTTGATATTTCGGTAGATCCGTCTCACAAACAGATTCGACCCCAAATACCCAACCGCTCCTGCAAATATCATCAACCAAGATTCAATAACACTTGATAAATAAATACATCAAGTCCTATGTTATAAGTTTTAACTACTCACCACAGAGGATTCCTAAACCGAGACAGAACATGGCCGTGTATCCAAAGTAGAAGCTGGTTTGGAAGAATCCCGACATCTTAGTCTTGACAGAGTAGTAATATATGGAATACAAGTAGACGTAAATAGCCGTAGAGGCTGCTGAAAAGAACGAAGTCCATTGCCAGTGGTAATTCTCCGCATTCAGCAGAAAATACGTTCCCACAATCGTCACACAAACAGTCACAATCACAAGAATGATGAACACAAGCAGCATAAACCCATAAACATAGTACACCTGTCAAAACATATATACTACATTATTATCATCTGCTGATGCTGATAACAAATATTTTCGTCATATGTTAATCATGATTACTTACCTTGTAATTCCAGAAGGATGTGAAGACAAAGTACATTTCGATGAAAATGCTGCCAAAGGGTAGGAGCCCTCCCATTATTGAGACTACTGACGGTGTGAGGTACCATTTTTTGTCGGGAATCGGGCGGGGGATGGTTTTAACGCGACACGGGTTGTTTGGGGCCCCGCTCCAGTTCCTTCCCACGACTGTGCCGAGAAGAGCGAGTGGGAAAGAGATGAAAGCCCAAATGACGAAAACCACCACCATTGTGCCGAATGGGATTGCGGCTAGAGACCCGTAAAATATAGCAATCGTGTTTAAGACGAACCCGATTCCAAAGCATAACAATGGGAAAAGTGATGCAGTTAGGATCATTGATTTTATCCAATTCTTCCCTGCAAGGAAAACAGACGATCATCCGCAAGTGGAATAATAAAAGTGAAAGCTGGAGGGCAAAATAGTCATTTTCACAAAATATTTGACAGTTGGGCTGTTAAAGTTGACGACCAAGAAACAAAAACTCAAAATAGGGACCAAAAAATGAAAACAGAATCTGTTTTGGATCAAAAATTGCAAACGTTTATTATTAAGATTAAATAATGGTACTTACCACCGTGGCGCGAATACATGCCACCACTGACGTATCCAGAGACAAATGATGTGAGAGCATAGCAAACTATAAATGTTGTCACAATTGCTCCTCTCCTAATAACAAAAAACAAAATTTACACTTACAACATCAGAATTCTCATTATCACCTCAACTTATAAGGATTAAGGCAAGCACTGAAAGAGAAAAATGCAAGTAATACCATTCTACTTTCATTTATCTGTGTATTATAACATTCTACTTCTGTTTGTTTCTACAGCATTGCACTTCTATTTTTTTCTTATTAAAGCCTTGTACTTTGACTTTGAGATAGCTATCCAGTTATAGCATTGTAGTTCGATTTCTTTTTGCTTGTTATGACTGACATTATTATGCTCTGAAAGATCTATATGGTTATAGAAGTGAAAATTACTTTGAATTTAAATGGTATTGCTAATCGGCTAGTTTTTTGAACACAATAGAAATGAATGTGCTTGCAACTTTTTTTGTATTAAGCATTAAACTTCAGAAAATCTAAACAATTATAGCATTTTACTTTCAATTTTTTCATATTAGGACATTATTTGAGAAATCTATCCATTTATATAAGTGAAAAATGGTTATGTATTTGAATGAAAGTACAATGTCATAATAGACAGAAATGAAAGTTTGTTGCTATTTCTTGCATTTAACACTTTCTGAAATAAATGTATTCAAGTGTGGAAATCTGATGACAAGCTTTGTAAAGCTATGTTCACAGTGATGATGAAGAGGGCATTTATGTCTTTTGCATAGACGAGAAATCGAGAGTGTTTCAAAAGGGACAAAACTTTCAATTTTTGTCCCATTGACATCAATCCCAGTTCAAAGCCAAGCACATTATAACCTGTTATGTCATATCATGTGATGCATAAGCATAACGTACCCAATATATAATGTTGCAACAATTGCAAACAAGATAACAAGAAGAATCAATAGTGCCAATTGAGCACCAGTTCCAACAACTGCTGACAACAAAACCAAATTGCGAGGTGGCCGGAAAACATCTCCATGCACAAGCTTCCAACCGGATTCCTCACTTACATCTCTTTCCTGAAAACCAAACACTTCAATAGCCCATTGCAATAACTTACAAAATTCATTAACTCATTGCCACATTACCAGACTCTCCAGATCATCATCTTCCCGAGCATACTTTGCATAGTCATTTCTAAGAGTCCGCATCAGAATCATGGAAACCAATCCAGTCAGGAAGATAACCATCATGAATGAATTGAATATGGAAAACCAATGAATCTGCAGTGACGCAAAAAGACAGTTATACCCTTGTGAGTGGAACTTAAAACATGAGTTATAGCGTTCACCTGATGCTCAAAAAAGTGGTAATCCAAGTAAACATCAAATCGGCGTGCAAATGTGATGTTGGTTTCTGTCCATTTGACTGAGTAAGTCATGTTTAGTGTCTTCCCAACTTCCAAGGGTTTTGGGTTCTCTTGAGTGAGATTGACATGAATGATCTGCAATAGCAAGAAATCATGATGTAAAAATATTAAAACAGTGTGAATATGAGAACCTTTTGTAGTGTAAAAGTTCATATATGAATAAAAACTGGAGACCTGATCTTTGTTGTATTGTAGAGTGATATTCTTATGTGTGAATATCATATGCTTGTTATCGCTGTTCCTATCAGAATGTAGCTCGCCAACAAATCCTATAGGACCAAAAATAGTTCCACAATATAAAATACTAGTTATAAAATAAAGTGAAGATACAAAAAGGGTTTGGTAGATGCATACCCCATAATGGAAGATCATCTGAATTTGTGTTCCACGCAGCAGAGGCAAAGAAATTGAAATCACAAGAAAAATGGGGGAGAAATAAGAATGTGGGAGAAGAAAAGTGTGATTCAAGTACAAAAGAAAGAAGAAAAGACTAGAAGGTGTACCCATGAAAAACTCAAACCAATAGTTATTGTCAATAGCTTCCTTAAAGTGCTTAACATTTGCTTCATCGAGTTTCAGCTCACAAATTGTACTCTTCTCCACATTCTCTGCCAAATGCCAAAGCATATATATGTCATGTGCCATTTGATTTCAGAAAGCTATAATTTACAAGAAACAGTGACAACATACTTTGGAACTTGATTTCAAATTGGCTATCAATAAGCTCATTTCCACCCAATACTTCACCTAAACCACCCCACTTATGCGCAGGAGTAACAGGGCGACCACAAAATGGAAGGCTGTAATAGTTGTATGTTTCTTGTGGATTATTGTAAGGCCCGACTTTATTCACCCAAAGGGTAATTGGTTCATCTGGTTGATACTGTATAAGAAAAGAGTAAGAATGTCAAAAACAGCCAAGTAGAAGAATGTGTTGTATAAATACATTGAATATGGCCCCAAAGGATCTATCATAATTTGTATGCAATAATAAAAAAGGCCCCTCAAGACTAGTTCTAATTAAAAGGAAAACGTAAAGAGCAATTGTAGCAATTAGCCTAACCAATAACTTCCCTCACGCCAATGCATGGACCCTTAAAAGAAAAACCATTACAGAGACATTGATTAACATGATCAACCTTTGAGTAACAACCACGCACACAGCCAATCTCCAATAATTCATTCTGTCCTTTCCAACCAAAGCGTATAAATGTTATGTAATTATGTTCAATTGATTTTTCCTGAACGTCAATCCATCTGTTACCCCACTAGTATTGTAACAAACTTCTTAGAACGCAAAACCAATTTTTAGCGTATAGACCTCTCGCACTCTCATCTAGAGTCTAGAGAAGTGGCAGTTCTAGACGCTGGTATTATCATCAACCTGAAGCTTATGCTTCCAATTACAATTAGTAGTGGATAAAGACTCCATATGTCCCGCAGCTACATACTAGGTGCATGTGGCTGAATCGTATTAAAATGTCAGAAAGATAAACGCGTAACAGAAAAACTAATATCGATCTAAACCCTAACAAAATACAAACCTCAATTCGTGAGCTATATTGCTTTCACCAAACAAATCAAATACCCGTACAAAGATCTAATGGGAAATTGCAAAATACTGGCATTCAAAATCAATGATCTACCAGATTGAATACTCACTGTCAACAAAAATAAAAGTTAGGGTTGCGGCGTTACTTAACCTTGTGATCATACTCGGAAGCGAACACCGGTGAAGAGATAAAGAGAAATGAAGAGATGAGAAGGGCAGCGGCGAGATAAGAGGAGGGGGAGGATCGGACGGCGGGCCACATCGTGATCGCCGGCGGAAGGATTTGGATCTAACGGCGATTGCTGAGGAAAAAAAGGGGAAATTTTAAGGCAAATGACTTTGTTTGTTTGTTTGTATGTTGGATCGGTGAGAGGGTCACTTTTTTCTCAATGGTTTTAGACTTTGCGAACCAAATCAGTCAACAATTGATACGATAAATACTTGTTAAAAAGTCATGTTTGGTACCTTCCTTCTTAAGTTTTGCTGTATTGTTTAAGCTTAAATTAACTAAGATATAGCATTTTAAAATCAATATTTAGAAGATCAGGTTAAAATTTCATAAATTTTTTTGACAATCTAAGGCTAAGGCTGGTGAGTGTGATGCCATATTTGTCACAGTTCACGTATGCGTCATGTCATTTTTACCACACTTTAATCAAAACTTGTCATTTGTTAGGCTCGGATTACCACACATCATGCTAAATATATATTTTCTTTAAGTATTTTAGAAAATAAATATTGCAAACATATTATTTTTTTTAAAAACTTAAATTCCATTAAAACAAAGAGAGAAATTAAAAATAATAATAATAATAATAATAATAATAATAATAATAATAATAATAA